AAAGGCATTTCAAGCTGACAGTATCATGTGAGTAGGTGTGTCTAGTATTGTGCATATTCTAATTTCTTTTCCAACTACATACAAATCAACTGTTAAGATAAAAAAATTATATATCCCTTTGAACTCATAAATCCTGCTATTTTCCATAAGTTATTCACCTCTTCTCTCCAAAGCCTACCCACAGGAGATGCCCTGAAAACATTCCTAATTAATAGTTATATAAAGAACACTGTAAACTGCTAGAAATATTCAGCAGAACAAAAAACTAACAAAGAAACAACCAAGCGGTGAGCTGTGGACTTACCAGGTAGCATTAGTGGAAGTGCTGATTATTGTGCCTGCTACAAGTTGAAAGAAAGCCGTCTAAGCGTGCTGTTAAAGCTCCCAGAAGTTACACCTCACTGGCTGTTCCAAGGACTCGAAGAAATCCAATCTCCTCCCACACAGGTGGAAAGTGACAGACTGACTTCTGCTGAAGGACACATTTCTAGATCTTTGTTGTGGCAGAATGTTAACCCTGGTATTTAAAAACTTCAGTCGCAAGGCACCATTTTTTAAAGAAAGATTTATGTTCTTTGACTTGATCAACTAAATGTATTTTCTGATTAAAGGAAACACTTTGCAGGGTATAACCATTTGAATTGTCTAATATAGTGAAGCTCATTGGCATTTCCTATTTCTATCAAATTTGTAAAACAAATAACACCATGAAAGCTATCAAAACACATTAACTTTTTTCAAAACCCTAAGTGCCTTTTGTAAAAGGTAACATATATGAATTCCTCAGATAGTTACACAGCACAATGTCAAAACAGTCATACATCTGCTTTCAAATACATCCCGTTGTTAATCCAAAAGATGTTGGAGCTTGGAGTTGGGTTCTGTGAAGACCAGAGTTTCCTCTACAATGGTTTGGCAAACCAAACTGTTCAAAGAACCATATCGGACCACTAAAAATGAAAAACAAATCTGTCTGGAGCCGTAAAAATGTAAATCTTATATAAGCCTCTTATTACAACACACACTCTAAGTTTATTTGCCCAATAAAAAAAGGACTACATGGGCTAAAATATATAATAAGCATTCATGATTAAATGTTCATCGCAGTTAGGTTAAGGTGAATTAATTTACTAAAATCTAATTATCTTCAGAGAACCAAGGCAGCACAAGTACCACAGATCAAGAACNGCCTCTTATTACAACACACACTCTAAGTTTATTTGCCCAATAAAAAAAGGACTACATGGGCTAAAATATATAATAAGCATTCATGATTAAATGTTTATCCTTGAGCATATGTCTCATCATGTGACTACTCTGCTGCACGATATTTGGTGCTTTACGTTTAAATTCCATTACAATATTAATGTATCAGGTTTTGTTGCATTGATAAAATTATAGAAACATAATAAAGAAATCAGATATTTTATTGTTATTTTTATTCTGAGGATTGGGGGGGGGGGGGGATTTAAGAAAGTTCACATACCTGCATAAGAGCATTACCTGTTCGACCTGTAAACGGTTTTTAATGTTTGCAACAAAACTAGCAGCAGTAGTGGAGTTTGGAGATGCAATCCATTTCTTAAATCTATCTTTGCGCTCCTCTAATTTATTCAGAAGTACTCCTATCCCACTATTTCTTATTACTTATCTTATCTTATTACTTGAAAACTTCTCATTACAAAGCAAACATGCAGGCAATCCTTCCGCATTGGTAATGAAAGCAAAGGATTCAGTCCATTCTTCTTTGAATCCTGTTCTCATGGGCTATCTTCCTTTTTTTATTCTTGGGATCCAGGGCCCAGGACACACTCGCTTTTTTTTTTTTACAACAGCCACCTGCCTGGCACTGCGCCAAAACTTGTGTTACAGGCCATGATGTAAATCTTTATTGACAGAAATGTTTACATTTATTGTTTAAATGTTTTTTTTAAAACAAATTTGTACAGCATTGGAAGACATAATGTTTGTTTTACCTCCTGCACACCATTAAAACAAACAAACAAAAAAAATCCATCTTTCTCCATTTTTATAAATTTTTTAAAAAGCTCTAGGGAGCCGTAAGGGGGTTATTGAAGAGCCGCATGCACCTTTGGAACATGTATCTCTATAGACCTTGTTTTGTGCTCTGGTGCTTTATACCATTGTGTCCAATGCTTTATATGGTAAAAAAAATAAAAAATAAATTGTAAAGCTTTGCAAAAACTGCTTTTTAGCTCATCTTAAGACTGCAGGAGGGTTGGAGGTCTCTGGAAGCCTCTTCGAAATAAATCAACTCTACATACAATCGTAGATTTAGTAAAACAAAAAATATCAAACAGCATTGGAACTGCAGAAAATGTGTCATATAATACCACTCAACCTTCTCTAGAAGAACAGGTTCCAAAAGTGTAAACAAAAACAAAAAACACCCAAAAGTCTGAGATAAACATCGGTATCAGCTTACATCGTCAATAGCAGTTACCCATTAAGTCTTATCAAGCACATTCATAGGTAAACCCCCGTTTTATGGTACTTGCAGCCAGAACACAAATAGCTGGTACATAAGGTAACTCATAAATCAAAGTTACAAATTCAGAGGTATTTGATTTGCAGCATAATAGCAGAAACTACTCCTAGTTTAGTATCCCCTGCTTTAGCACAGGTTCAGTTCTCTAAATATTCTCTGCTCAGCTGTTTCCCCTCATCTCTTTGAAGCAAATGTTCATCGCAGTTAGGTTAAGGTGAATTAATTTACTAATATCTAATTATCTTGAGAGAACCAAGGCAGCACAAGTACCACAGATCAAGAACTTTGCCTTTAACCTTATATAATTCTGGGCCTGTTGATTTTCAAAAGTCCCAAATAAATTAGACTTATAAAACAAAATTATTCTTTTTGTAATTTTGTGTTGGGGTATGAGCTTTGGACTGAAGTCATGACTATGCATGAAGATTGGTGAGTCTTTGACTGCATGATAATGTTTAATGATTCATAAAACATGTTTAAACTAACATGGAAGTTAGTAGTTATTCTTCAATGTTGAAATATAGCCTTTGAAACATCCTTTCTTTCTTACACCTTTTATACATATTTATACCTTTTTAAAACTTTTTTTTTTTTTTTACATTTACTACACTTGAAAGTTGCATTGGAATTAAAAACTGGCACTTATTGTACAGCTGTATTTGTGAGGCATGCCTCTGCCATCTTTATGTGTGTATCATGAGTCTGTGAAAATAGACTAAAGCGAATTCAGGTTAGATTGTCTATGAGCAGAAATTCTTAAGATTTGCCATCAGATTTAGGACCTTTACTGAGCCATTATAGCATAATAATATATCTCTATCTAAAGAATTACCCCCCAACCATCCCAATTCTAAAATCTTTTTCCACATACTTCAATTGTCCTTTATCAACCTAAATCTATCACAACACCAAGTCTGAGTCCTGATTCCCCTACCAGAGCTGTTGATCTTTAAAAGATGAATTAGTCTTAAAATATGAATATTATTTAGAATAAATATCCTTAACAGTGCCATAAAAGTAATGCCTTGTGTAGATGGTTTAAGAAGATATTTATAATGAGGCAGACTTGTTTTGCTTTTTGTTATCGGAGTTCAGGTGCAGCTGCAGCTGCTGTTGCCTCTGGCTGTGTCTGATTAATGTCTTTCAGCAGTTTCACAGTCGGAGCCCAGTTATGTGGCAACACAGTCACTGTCATGAGAGTAAGTCAGATGACAATCTTAGGATCCAGTTCAATGCAAGATAAGTGAAGAACAAAAATACAGCATAACCTTAAGACAGAAATATCTACACCAGATTTGATCAATTCATTAAGGAACAGAGGATGTAAAAATAATCCAGGTTTTTTCTACAAAAGGACATTTTACTGAGGTAATTAAAAACCTTGCACATAGTAAAGACAAACTTCCATTTTGAAATGTAAAAGTGACTTACAAACACAAACCCACTTTAACATCAGATTGATTAGTATTTTTCCTCATGGTTCATGAAACATGAATGTAAAAGATTTTCATGTATTGCTTTAATATAAATTAATGACAATATCAATGAAACTGAAGATAACCTACTAATGAATCAAGAGTGGGGAACAATAAAATGAACAGGCTTAAAAAAAGACTTCTGCTCAACAGTTACCCAAGATGCAGCTAAGTCAATGTTAAATGTATTTCTTAAACTAATTTGTACAGCATTTGAAAACATAAGTTATGTTTTTTTGACCTCCTGGACACCATATTAAAACAAAAAGAACCCATTGTGCTCTGGACATTTCCAGGAAAACCAACATTTTCACCATCGGGTTTTCAAATGCTTTTTACCTCTGAAATATGAGACGTGGTTTTGGTTTTCTTTGAAATGCTGCAATTGTTTGATAACAGGAATCTCCTATTCACTTCACGGAAAATAAAAAAGCAAGAACTTCAGGTACCACCCATTATTCACACATCCCTGAAAGGAGTCACTCTTCAAAGGCTGTTTTGCTGAAAACGAAATCAAATCTTGTTTTCTCTTACAAATTCAGATCAAACCTAAAAAAAAAAACAGAACTAATGTACATTTAAAACATTAAGCCAACTTTATTTAAACAAAGTTAAGATACTGCAGAAAATCTACCATAAAATCCCCCCCAAAAAGTCAGCATTGTCATTAAGAACAAACATTATGGGTCCTTGGAGTGTTGTACAGCAACAAATCCAACCAAATTGGGAACAAAGGACAGATTCTATAGTCTTAAAATTACCAGGCACGTATAGGTGACTGAAAAAGAAATGGATAATAAAACATACATTGAATTTAACAATAAAAGCACACAAACATTTTTATGTACAGTTAAGCCACCTTTGGCATTGAAATATAATTGCTTTTTTCATAAACTTGTCCATTAACAGAAAGGACCATCAGGTCAAACCTTCCTTAAAAGAAAAGCCTTTGTGCGTTCTTCAGAAATTATTGAGGTTCCATCATGGAACTGCTCAAACTCTTTTTGCCTTTTTTCCAGGCTATGTATAATAAAATATGTTACACAGTTCTTTATAATATAGCAAAAATAATTCTCTCTAACATCTCTCACCTGAAGCAGCTTTTAGTAACACTACAACTTTTCCTCTCTACAGTGTAACTGAGAAACCCTAAATAGCAGATTAACCTCCTAAGAAAATATTATGTTTGGAATGTATACAGATTTGAAAGTCTTTATGTTTTCAGTAGACAGGCTTGTAAAAGATCTGGCCACCCAGAATCCTGCGCCTCAGCTCGTTCCACAGCAGGCTACGCTCTCTCTGAGATCCTTTCATGAAGCCGCGGTTTTCTTGTGCACGCCGAGACAGATAGGGGATCACCTCATTGACAGGACCGTATGGGACGTACTTGTACACTGGGAAACCAGCTTGACCTGTTTATTACAGAGGAGACACAAACATGTAAAAAAAAAAAAAAACACTATCGCCACCGTGTGAGCATCCAGTGTCATGATTTGTGGTGTGGGGAAATTCAGTGCCTTTACTTTTGAATAAAGACAAACAATAAAAGGTAATAGTTTAAAAAATAATTTGTAGATAATGTTTAAAAAAAAATCAAAACTTTACAGAAGTTTCAATCATGACCTTGAGCATATTTTACAGACAGAAGTTCACCGGACAATTGCCAGATGGAAGACAAATGACTGTAGCATTGTTTTCAAAACTTGCCAAAATAAAAACTAAACGCTCATATCCCCTTTAACTACGGTAGACCTAAACAAATCAAGTCCAACCTACATCTTGCAGCAACACAGCTTTATATTATCAGGAAATTCATTCTGTTGCACTAAAAAAAGAAAACGCAATCATGTTGATTCCTGATAACCCTACTGATTGTGGTAGAGAAACATTTTTCAAAGACTTCTCATTATTTGTAATTAAGCAATGTCATGACAACTCGGTGCGGTGGTTAGCATTACAGACCCTTAAAATAAACCCTCAGGTTTAAGTGCTAAATAATCTAGAGTCAATCCACCTACTGAGCAGTTAATCAAAATATTAAATTATTGCACTCAAGCAGAGCTTTGGAAAAGCAGTATGGCTGAAATATTGCAGGGATGACTTGGATTTGAAGTACAGTGGAGCTCAAAGAACCCTGCAGACAGTTCATAGATGAAGATATAAATAATGGCAAGACTACAGTTGATGGGAAGATGAATGGTGCAATGAAGGTAAAATTTGGAGGCAAACCTCTTTGGGCTTGCTAAAGACCTTAGATGGAGCTAAAACAGAATGGTCAGATCAAATCAGATCCTTTTGTTAATAAAGGCTAATAAAAAAAAATAGACTGACAGTAAATCTGATTAGAAACTGATGTGTTCAAAAACTTTGCACAAATTTCAGTCCCTAGATTTGCAGAGCTGATTTAGAGATACCAACTACCAAAAAAAAAAAAAAAAGACCTTCAACAGTCACTGCAACAAAAAGTAACTTTATAGAATCAAACATTTTATTTTTGTTTTCTTAAAAAAAATATATATACATATAATTTTATTTCCAAGCTCTCACATGGGCATTGGGTTATTTAAGGTCAAATTAAGTAACATCATCAGCTTAAGACTGAAACCCTGTGACGTAATGTTTGGCAATTCTCAGTAAAGCACATCAGGAACTTGTTTGCTCTCAACACGCCTACAGGTTGCACACACCATAAGGTCATCAGCTCACCTGACTGAGAGGGCTGACGTCTGTGGGGGTCGTGTTTTAGGAGAGTTTATTCGGCTCTGACGTAAGGCTTTTTGATTTCATAATCTAATGTTTGCTTATAGTACCCGAGCTGAGTTCAACATACCTAGCGGGAAGCTGATCTGGTCACACATGCCGAGCAGCTGTCCGAAGTAAACTTTATTCTCAGAGGGTGAAAGACCCATTTCATTCATCCTATAAAAGAAAAAAAAAACACATATTAGGGTGTGTAGAGATTTGTGAATCATTATATAACTGGTCCTACATTTTTCCATAACAGATGTTGCAACCCTGTTCTGTAACTGTACTGAAAGCTTATAAGTCTAGTCTCATAACGGAGGTTTGACTTCAAACCACAGGGTTTAATTATCATTAAGAAAACTATTAGGACTGTTTATGTTTCAACAAAATCTAAAATGAATTGCATGACCAGCAGTTAACCTTCTTTAAACTCTATACATGTTAGAAAAAAAATAAAAATACATACTTGTCAAGAGTGAACTTCACTGTGTCTTCATTGTGTGTAGCAACCATCACATTTGCTTTCCTGTTATGCTCAATCTCCTCCAAAACATACTCCAAACACCTGGATAAACAACGAGGAAATGGTAGGAAATCAAAAACTCTCAGGCTAAAGTACAGATGGGCTCCTGGGAGAAACTCCAGACTTACTTATGATACATCCTGTTTGTTGCTTCATAATCTGGGTTTATAGGGTCTTCATAGCCAATCTCCTCGGCCCTGGCTCTCTCTTGGTACATATAAGCTCCACGGACAAGTTTGGCACCAAAGTACCAGCCCTCTCTTCGGGACAGCTCAACATCCAGGGTCACGTTGTCGTAGGCTTCCTAAAATGCATTATGAAAAACTTAATGAAAGCCCAGATGCATAACTACCTTTAGATATTACTATTCTGGGAAGAAGGAAAATAATAATAAAAAAGAGTTGTTTGTAACTGATTAATGATAAAAAATACATAAAACAAGGTGATCTTTTAAAACTCCCCAGTTTTCAAATAGTTACAGCATTATTATGATAAACAATCAATGTAACTCCCTAAAATAACAAATTTACCTTAAGATAACATTGATAGGTGTTGAAAATCACTGGCTTTTCTCTGTTGAACTTCCTCTGCATCTCCAGGGTGAGTCGACTGATTGCTGGTTGGAAGTATGTCTGTTCTGCATCCACCATGAGCCTCACCCCATTTTCCAAAGCATGCTGAGACACAAAAACAGTCGATTTCATTTTACTAAGGGTTCTACTTTGGAGTTTTTTCAACTCTAAAGGCCCACTATCCTCCATGTTTAAAATCTGAACCAGGTGTTTTAGCTAAGTAACATCTAAAACACGCAGTGGGCAGTGTGCCTAGAGTAAAAAAAACAAAAAACAAAAACTCTGTTATAGATAATAAATATTCATAAAGCCACTGAATATGTGCAAAAGCCAAAAAAAGAGCTAACGATGATGAGACCTTTTGGTTGCTCCCTTACACCAGACGCCCTTCCTGCATTAACAGTCAAAGACTTAATTCACTTCACCATCGGGGACTATTCTTGTTATAAAAGTTGACATTTGGAAGTTTATTTTTCCTTAACCAGCACCTCAATCATAAGTTATAAGTGATGGGTGCATATATTTACAAATGCAGTCATGACTTTAGTTCTCACCTTTGCCAGAATGTCGACTCTCTGCAGCATTCTCTTCATCTGGCTCTCCTCTTCAGCTGTAAATTTGCTTGACAAAGATTCCAGCTGACCTGTCTGCAAAGCCAAAAACAGTTATTAGAACTTCTAATGAAGAGTTCAAAACTGCAGGGGTTTCTCCAATGCTTGAGGTTAGCAGTAAGGCAGAAAACTAACAACTACTTTGCAAATCGATTTGTTTATTCTATTCTCAAATAATAATTGGATGGCAAAAGGTCCCTAAATAAAGCTAAAACTGTGCCCTTTGACAACTTCTGGATAGAGCTTATAAATGAACAAAACAAGGTTTTCATCTTGATCATACAATGTTTATATTATTTAGGTAAAGTAACTGCTTCGAGTTGGTTCCTTTAGAGTCTCTATACTCAAGTTAAAGATTGATTAATTACTAAATGAGTTGAAAATTATTTCAATAGTCTATTAATCAGGATTGATCCAAGTGTTTTAGTTCTAGTTAGCAGTAATCAATTATTTATACAAATGAATATATTTTCATACATTCATTTTTACATCTGAGGGTGGAATAAAAGCTAGCTTCTTTATTTTTCTCACATCCGTGAGTTCGGTCGGATTTGTTCCAAAGAGATGATCAGGAAATCTAGCATGAATTGGAACTAATGTTCGAGCCTGCATCTACTCTTCTGATGCAGTTTGAATTTAATACATCTCCATCTGTTTATCATACATTTTAGTTACAGACGTAAAAACAAAGGAAAGGCTGTCGCATTGAGAATTTAGCAGATTATATATAAGCACTCTGTTATCTCAGTGGGGATTTGCCGTATTTTGTGTCAAGTGAAAAGTGTCTAGCATACTCAGCTCCTAATGCCAATTTATAACCTGATCTCTTCTCAAAGCCGCATAATACATGAAATGAAAGATATAACAATGAATTACCTCAAGATTTGGCACCATGAGCAGATTGGACATTTTTGTTGTGTCATTTATCAAACTGTTCCAGTCCAGCAAGTCGATTGTTCTGGGAATATCAAATCAAATAGAAATTAAATCAATTCAGATTCCTTAATTTCTTCATCTAGAAATCTAGCCTTGAGATAATAACTGTGATATTGGTAAACGTCCTAATATTTGTCTAAACAGGGAATGTTTTATTACCCTGACAAACCTAGCTTCTCCCCAGTGAACCAGTTTTCAATGTCATCTTTGGCTCCAACACCCATCTGAGTCAAACTTTCCTGCAAGAACAAAATATACCAATAAAAAATTTATAAAACAAAGTCTATATCATTTCAGTAAAGTTGCCCCAAATGCTCAGAGACAGAACTAAAAACTTGTCATAAAATAGTCTGAAAGCCTTCAGTAACCATTCCTGGGTCTGCATGTAGGGACATGAAAAAGATCTGACGAACCTTGAGCTGCTCCAGTTCCAGTGTCTTCTCCAGAGCAGACATGTCTGATTTTCCTTGTTGTGCAGCGAGGAAGTTAAAGAATTTCCTCCATTTAACCAGGACCTCTGAAAACTGAAGCTGTTCAGATAAAAGGACAAGATATTAATCATTAATAGGTCATAAAATCACCGTAGGCGTGATTTAACATTGACAATAAGGTGCTAAAACAAAACAAAACTAGGAAAAAAATGGCTCATTGAACAAAACAACTAACATATAATTATAATTAAAATGTAGAAGTTATTCTTACGAGGAACTGTGGACGTCCAAGTGCAGTCATTTTGATAGCAGAGAACCCATCAGTTGAAGCTCCGCCTAAAAGTACCAACAATGGGATTTAGATATGCCTGTTTATATTATGGTAAAATTGGTATTTATTTTTAAATGAACTTCTTTATACATAACTGTTAATAAATTCATCAGTATCTACCCTACAAAGCACATCAGCCAAGGCAAACCAGGGACAGTTTAACAAGCTAAAAGCTTTAATGAATAAAGACCTATTTTTTCAAGCAATAACATAGGAAACATTTTGAGTAAACATATCGCTTTGCTTTTCAGGCTGACGGACAGTACTCAATGTACTTTAAGTGTAGGTGCAAAAATCCACAGAATACTGTTTGCTTGACCTGCAATGATGTCTTTGAAGTTGGATCTACTTTGGATAGTAAAATATTTGCTGTTCTGTTGGCCTTATTCAGCGCAGTATTTGCCTTGGCTCCATCAGGAAGACCTGAGCAATAGCAAAGTGACCTTGTCCTACTACAGAGAAGATAACGCCTACGTATAAGCTCTTCACATAATCCAACCTGAGAAAAATACATATTTAGAAATTGATCCGATGACTCCTGTATTGGTTGTGAATTGTTTGCATGTTGTTATTCTAATAAAATAACACATATTTGACCAACTGTTTTAAAAACCTACTCACCCGATGCTTTAATACAGTTTATAAAGGTCTCCATTTGATTGTCACATTTGGCCTCGTCAGCATAAAAGTAGGTGCGAGCACTGATGACACCTCCACGTCTGTCCCCAAACCGCCGATGGGCCTTGTATTTCTTCTCACGGTGATCTGCGCCTGAAGAGGGCAAATTATCAACTAGAATTAAGTTATGCTGGCAGGTATATGTCTAGATAAAATATGATCTTGAGAATTTGTTCAAGACTGAGAAATCTCTATCTCTATCATCTACAAGAGTTGAGCTTTTGTAGAATAATAAATGTGTCAAAATCCTATAATTTATGGTTTATATCATGAAACCCATTGTTGTAATAACACAGATAATGCTTGAGCTTAGTAATTGCAAAAAATTTTGCATGATTAAAAATACTGTTTTCAAAGAAACCCTTGCAGCTGTGACGTAAATGTTAACTTCTTCAATGTCAGTCACACGTCATCCCGCTGCAACAGCTGAACTGGACATTTTAAACCCAACAGGATCCAGCTACGACCAGCGCAGACCAGCCAAGAGCAAATGTTGCATGGTATGGTATGAGAGTCCAGCCTATCAGCCTGCACTGGCATAGCTTTCACTTGCAGCGTCATCATTCTGAGAAAAGAAAACCATCTTTATATCAGCTAACTATTCACTGCCTCTACACTGAGCATGGAAGCTGAAATCTTGTGCAAAATGAAATGAATAACCCTTTATTTAAACCAATATACACACCAGAGCTGTCCTTCTCTGCCTCAGAAACACAGGACCTGAAAAAAAATAAAATAAAAAAATAAAGGACAGTCATTAGGCAAGTTAATTAATCTCTGTAGAACTAATGAATAAACATTTTAACAGAGAATTTAAATTTTAAAAGTGGTAAAACATGCCATTTTTTTTATGCTGCTTTGCTGAGATATTCAAACTTTTTCCCCATATATCATATTTGAGAATATTGCATTTTTCTGTGAAGTCGTGTCAGTGAAACAGTTTCCCGATATGTGCTCAGAGAAGTACAGAAAAAAAAAAACTGAATGTATTTATTTCTACAGGCATGTAGACAGAAACAATCCTCACCAGGAACATTGCATACGCCTTCTTTACAAGAGTAAGGGTGTATAATAAAACATCCAGCACACACGCCTAAACCATTGAAAGCCTTTTAATAATTTCCACTCTGCCAGCTGGACCTCAGCTCCAACCAATCAGCTGAGGGAGGTATGTCCCAACTGGCCAATAGGAGACAAGAACAGCTTGTCTTGTGAAAACAAATCCAACTCTTTCCGATTTGATTACAGGCCTTTTAAGAGGGGAAAAACATTGCAAATGACCCAGATTAAGAGGTAATAACAGAGGCAACACCTGAACCGATAAGATTAGAGCAACTAATATCAAAGTGCAGTGCAGTGGAATATTTCAGAAATTATGAAAGGAAAGATAAAAACATCCTGAAATAAGGCATAACTTTAATGGTAAATATTTAGACTTTAGATCTGATATTTTTAGGAGCAACATCCTTATTTGTGATTAAGGAACATGCATATAACATAGAGGCCATTGCTCACTACCCTTGCAGTTAGCTGTTTGCTGTGAAGAATTACATTAATATACTGTATATTATAGCAAAACTCATACCCACAGCTACTTGGTGGCTCTGCATGGGGGAGAGGGGGCCTAAGTAGAGCATTTGCTTCTTGGCTGGGGCAGATCTCAACCTATTACTCTGGGTTTCATAGTAAGACCAAAATGCTCCCCCAAGGGCTACAAGCTGCTCCTTATGTTAAATTCCATATTCATCCCCATTAAATCCAGTTAGGATGGAAATGTTTCCCAAATTAGAAAACTCCCTTGAACTCTGCAACCCTAGTGTTTAACCTATGGGCTAAAGTAGGCGATGTACTCTGAAGGTGCTCCTATTTTCCTAGTACATTTCATGCTATTGCACAATAGTGGTTAAACCAGTTTCTGCAGTCAAGCTGTAGGCAAATAAAGCATGACTTCTCTACAAATACTAAGATCTGTGACATAAAAAGAATAAAATAAATTCTTGAATACAACCGTGAACTGTCACAGTCTACCCGCTCTGCTAAGGTTATCTTAATAATAAAACATGCAATCTAATCGAGTATAACCGGGATGATTAGAGTGAATAATGTTGCTTTCCTCTCATAATTAACTGCTAAGAATGAGTGTGAGGAAATGTGTTCTGTCAGTGGTTTTTTATGCAATTTATGGAGCTACATCAAAATAACCCTGCTCAGATTACAAAATGCATCTCACGCTTAAGACAACAAACAGACAGTGGAGCTCTCTGTTGTCATGGCACTGATGTTATTATTAAATGACAATAAGGGCTTGGTCGGAGAAAGACCAAGCAGTTAAAACCTTAAATGAAAAAAACAAGTTAGAAGGGTTTAGCTGTGTAAATACATTTGTCTCAACTGGATTATATGTTATATAACTACTGATGCACTCACTCCATTTCTTTCTTCTCTGCCTCCTCTTGTGTCAGATCTTCTTCCACACTGTAGTCCAGTACAGCGCCCACACCGAAAGCCTGGTTCTTGTGTATTAAAGGTTTGATGGAGTTATGATCTTCCCCTGCCACAAACTGACCATAGAAGGTCATCTTCATCATCTTCTCAAACATCCGTTGACCCAGCAGCTTCTTGCTCAGCTCCATTAGCTTTGGGCGCATAGAAAAGAGGTCATGAGTTGGTTTATTTCAAAGCAGAATTTGAGCTGAATTGATGCGTTTTCAGAGGAACTTACCTCTTTATTCTTCTCAACAAGGAAGTCAATGGTGCATAGATTGAAGACAAGCAGACTTCTCAGCAGCTCGATGTTGTTCTTACTTTTATATGCCTCCTCGGTGTTGTCGAAGTCGATGTGAATCCTGTTGAGGCGCACGTCTTTGGCGTTTTTGGTCTGGCTGATAAGTTCAACAGGGACAGCTTCCACCACAGGGCAGCCCTCCAGCTGCCGCTGCTGCTTCTCTTCCTGGCTCTTCGTGGATGCCACAGTTGACCGATAACTTGAAGGTGAAACGCGAATTTTGTTGATGCTGCCCGACTTTGCCCGAGCAAGTGGCGCTAGAAACTTTGTGTAGGACATATTTTCTCTTCTTTCTTAGAGTTTTGGCCGCTCGGTGGTCGTCTGTTGTTCGGTTTTTGGCTGCTGCGTATGTGCCTCCACCGGGTGAGGGTTGTGTAATGAGCGCGCGCGTCTGGGCTGCTGCGCTTCGACTGCCTGGCCTGGAGGGGCGGTTCCTCACATGGCAGCAGCACGCGCCCTCCTGAATAAAGTAAGGTGAATGACAATCCATCAATCTACTTTTGGGTTCATAAAGTACTTTTGAAAAGGTTGTGTTTGAATTAAACTGACTCTATATTTTCTTTACTTATTTTTATTCATAAGATATAAATAAAAATATAATAAAAAAATAATATTCAATTCATATTATTAAACAAGCCTCCCTTATATTTCTTCATCAGTATTTTTCTTATTTCTTTGTTGTTGTTTTTTTATATATATATATATATATATAATGCCAACCAAACATTTGAATAGAAGTAAAGACTTGCATGAAATAAAATAAAAAATACAATGTTCAACTCAGTTATTGCAGACCAGGTTAGTTATCTTGTGCTCTGGTGTTGTATCACTCATAAATTTTTAATTTTAATGAATGAATCATCTGTATGAACAAACTGAATCGAAAAACTTTCACTATCTTATTTTTTATTTTCTCAGCAAAGTCAGTGCCAGCCTATAAGGAGTGGAAGTTCCACGCTGTGTAACTC